CCGGACATGGGTCCCTATACTCAAATGTTTTCTACTGTTGCACTGAATAACCCCTAGAAGTTTGATCCCATAGTTCTGAAACACCCTGTATATATATACACGTAGTTTTCCGCACATCCTTTTTTTTTTTTTTTTTTTGCGTGGGGGAAATCCTTTATGGATACCCCGGTCTCGGGGGGTAGATGGCCAGGGTTATGCGGGAGTCCCCCTTCCACCCCGAGGGGTGAGGAGGGTATACCCGCTAAAACCCCCACGGTGTGCCTACTCTGCGCGTTGGAGGAAGGGACCCGGTACCCCTTTCGGATTCATCACGGGTCCCTCCCGCGCAACACTGTGCTTCCCGGGAGGGAACCTAAGTCCCCTCCCTATACCCTTTGTGCGGTGGGGGGGGCACACGCCTCCCCGCCGCTCTGCTCTCGGGCCGAAGTGCAGGACGGGACGGAGCCCCCACTCCGTCCCCTCTTGGCCCTAAGTGGTGCTTCCTACCCGGGGGGAGTACGGTTCCTCCCCCCGGCCACCACCTACCACTTGTTCCAAATGGTCAGGGCGGTGCCCGACCAGCAGGGCCCACGACTGGCCCCGAATTTTTTACGTGACACCGCCCTGACCCGCGAGACGTCTCGGGCCCTGGGGAAAGGGGACCCTCCCCAGGGCTTACCGTCATCCTACGTCGTCCGACCTCCTCCTTCTGTCACAAGGAGGAGGTGGCGGACGACAGGCCCGAACGCCGGGAGAGGGAGGCCTAACACCCTCTCCGCCGGCGACAGGTCGTGCAGCGTCGCCCGCTTGTCCTCCTCCTCCTCTTTCACCTCGTCCCCTTTCTCCTGGGACCTCTCCTGGGGTTGACATCCCTGGGGTTTCTACCCCTGAGAGCTCTTTCAAGCTCCCTTTCCGTGGCCTCCTTCTGCAGCATCACCTGCTCGCAGAAGAAGGCCATTGCCGTCCACTCCTCCTCCCCCCCAACTATCGCCCGCACAATGGCCGGGAGGGAAAGGTCTTCTCCCAGCGACGCGACCAGAGCCCGGCGCTCTTCTGCCCACGCTGGACAGTCCTCCAGCGTGTGCTGCGCCGAGTCTATGGCCGCGTCGCACGCGCGGCAACGCGCCGTCGGTCTCTTCCCTATCCGGCACAGGTAGTCCTCGAAGCATCCGTACCCCGAGAGTACCTGTGCCAGACGGTAGGTGATCCTGCCGTGCCGTCTGTTCAGCCATCTCACCAGACATGGCCGAACAGCCCCGACAACGCGCCCGTCAGCAACGGGGTGCTGGCTTAACCGTTTGCTCCACCTTTGAAGCGCGCTGCCGGGATTGACGCTCAGCGAGAGCCACTGCCTCGTCCAGACGAGGGCCTTCTAGCCTCCCACGCAGCCCGATGCGGAGATCGTAGATTTCCGCGTACATCCGCGCAAGGAGGTCTAGGGGGATCACCCCCGCCATCAACCCTGCTGCCTCATACGAGGTGGTTCGGTATGCACGAGCCACGCGCAGCGAGATAACCCGCTGCGCGACGCGGAGCTGGTGGAAGTTTCCGCGCCCCGTGACTCGCGCAAACTTTGCCCAGATCGGTGACCCGTAAAGGGCCACCGAATGAACCACCCCTACGTAGAGGCGGCGGACCCTCTCGTCTGGACCCCCCAGGTTGAGCAGCAAACGGCCTAGCGCGGCCGCTACCCGTTTCACTTCGGGCGAGGCGCCCGAAGTGGGCCTCGAAGCGCCAACGGCCGTCGAGGAGGAGCCCCAAGTACTTGAGCGTACTCCCCACCTCGACTCTGGCATCACCTACCCGAAGGCTGGTCCTTGGTGGCTGCCCCCGAGGGCCATGAAGCCACATGGCCTCGGTTTTCTGGGCAGCCACCGTTAGGCCCAGCCTTTCTATGCGACCGACGACGCACTCCGCGCCCACCTCGGCGCGGATTCGCGCGTCCCTCCAGGTGTCCCCGGAGGCTAAGATCAGCGTGTCATCGGCGTAACACGCCACGCTGATCCCTCCGGGGAGGGCGGCCCGGATCACCGCGTCGTACCCCAAGTCCCACAGGAGCGGCCCCAACACCGACCCCTGCGGGACCCCGCGGTGCATCTCTTTCCGACGCGGTTCTCCGTACCGGCTCGAGTACTCTACTCACCTGTCTCGGAAGTAGTCCCCGATCAACCTCCCTAGATAGGGGGGCACCCAGTGATAATCGAGTGCCCGCCCTATAGCGTCCCAGGGGAGGGAGTTGAACGCGTTCTTGATGTCAAGCGACACCGCGATCAGCTTCCCTCCCCGAGAGGTTACTCCCTCCGAGAGAGACTCCACGTACCGGATTGCATCCACTGNGGAGCGCCCCTCTCGGAAGCCAAACTGACACTCCGCCAGATCGGGGCCTACCCCCGACAGGTGGCTCGTGAGGCGGGCCGCGACCACTCGCTCGAACAGTTTGCCCACCTCATCGAGGAGACAGATCGGCCGGTAGGCGGACGGTGAGTCCGCCGGTCGCCCGTCCTTCCAAAGAAGGACCAACCTGGCGCGCTTCCACGCCGGGGGAAACCACCCCGCCTTCAAACAGTCCGTCAGGAGCTGCCTGAGGCGGGTCCGCAGGGGCCCAAGGGCCAAGACCCAGGCTCGACCAGGGATTCCATCCGGACCCGGGGCGGTGTTCTTCTCGCCCATCTTCCGGATGGCCCTGGTCATCTCCTCCTCGGTGACCGCCCATTCGTCAGACCACTCCACATGGTCCGGCGGAGCCTCCGGGGCGGGCCAAGCCTCTCTCCCGCGAGGGAAGAGGGTGTCCACTACCCGTCCCAGGAGGTGGGGGTCAAGACTCTCCGTCAGCGGGGGCGTCCAAGGTCTGAGTCGCCTCATGACGACTTTGTACGGACGCCCCCACGGATCTTTGTTGAGAGTCCCGAGGAGCTCATCCCAGGCCCGGGTCTTGGCCACTCGAATGGCCGTCCCGAGGGCTTTCTTCGCAGCGCGGAAGCCCTCATAAACTCTCTCCCACGTGGCCTCGTTGCCTGATGGTCGGCAACGGGCGTGGGTGTACTGGAGTCGCGCCCTTACGCACTCCTCGCGCAACTAGGCGATCTCCAACGACCACCAGTACACCGCCCTCTTGGGAGGAAAGCTCCTTCGGCGGGGCATGGCCACGTCGCAGACGTCCACCATGCCCGCCATGAGCCACTCCACTTCCTCCCAGGGGCCACGCGGCGCGGCCGGTGGAGGCGACCACGCCACCACATGGGCCGCGGCGACCAAGGCCCCTGGGTCCATCTCCCTAAGGACCCAGCCCCGCGGCGGTGGGGTGTTGTTCCCACCCCGGCGGCCCCGGTGGCCAGGGCCGGACGTGGAGACCACCATCGTCACGTAGCGATGGTCTGACAGCGTCTCCACGTCCACCCTGACTTGCCACTCGGACACACGCGGCACAGCAGCCGGGGATGCGAACGAGAGGTCCACAATCGACCCCTCGTGCTGCCGCACACACGTCTGCTGCGAGCCCCGGTTTAGCAGCTGGAGCCCGCAGACTGCCATCCACACCTCCAGAGCCTCTCCCCTCGCTTCTGTCCTGGGGGAACCCCAAGTCACCGACTTGGCGTTGAAGTCCCCCAGGACGAGCACCGGGCGGGGGTGCCAGCGTCTTACTACTGCCTCCAGCCCGTCCAGATACTCCTCAAAGTCGCGGAGAGGCCTGTTGGGTGAGAAATAACACCCCACCACTATGGTTTCTCCCCATTCCCCGGCCACGAACCCCGGCCCCCTCTCAGCGAGAGTGAAGACCGGGATCTCGTGGCCCCAAACACAATAGATCGCGACCGTGCCCGTTTCATCCCCCACCCATGCGGGGTGGGCAGGGACTGAATACGGCTCGGCCGCGACCGCCAAGCCCCCCCCTCTCCGCCAGGCTTTGGGTCATGAGATCCTGCGCCCGGCGGCAGTGGTTCAGGTTCGCCTTGAGGAGGAAGGCCATGGTTTACCTTACTCGGCATCCATGGGCTCCTCCCCCAGGCCCTCCCTCTCCCTTAGAGGGGGCTCGGTCACCCCCCCATAACCAGCGGGCCCCGGCGGCCCAGCTGTCCCCCCTCCCAGACCCACAGCGAGACCCGGTAGCCCCGCTGTCACCTCCCCAACCGCAGGACCCGGTGGCCCCGCCAGAGTTTCCCGGACACCGGGAGGAGAGGACTGTGAGGCCTCCCCCCCCGGACCCTTTGCTCCCCTCTTGCCTCTGCGGATGGCGGGGGCACAGGCTGGACTCCCCCACCGATGGCCGGCTGGGCGACCCAAGTCCGAGCACAGCGGACACTTCGGGTCCGCTGCGCACAGGGCCGCCCCATGACCGACCCCTCCGCATTGGTAGCACCGCCCGCTGCGGTCCTCCGAGGGGTACGGGCATTGCTGCCTTACGTGTCCCCTACGGAGGCACTTGTAGCACTGGAGCGGGCGGTGCTCCAACACATCCACCGCAACCCTGACCCAGCCGACGGTCACCTTGCCTAAGTCGGCAAGTTTCCTGACCGCCAACACCGGGCACCGCGCCTATGCTGCACCGAGGCCCGAGGGGACCGTTTTAACCGGCCCCACTCTGATCTCCCCCGGTGCGCATCCCCCGGCGCTGGCCAGGGCTGCGGCCACCTCTTCTGAGGAGACTGAGTCGTCCAGGCCCCGCACTCTGACTTCCGCAGTCTTGACGGGCCTGGAGACCCTAGCCTCCCCATTTGCAAACAAGGCGGACATGGCCTGGGCCAGCTTGTCCGCCTTGTCGGCTCCTCCCTCACCGGGGACCTCCAGGACAAGGCCCCCGGTGATGGCTCTTTTTGGCCTGAGCCCGGCGATGCCCAGCCCCTTGAGGTCTATTGACTCTCGGGCCTTGGACATCACCGCGCTCAAGGTGAGCGGCCCACCCTCGGGCACGTTAACTGTGAGGGCCGCCGTTTTCGGCACACGGCCGGCCCTCTGCTTGGGGGAGGAGGCTTTGCCCTTGCCCCCTCCCTTCTTCCCTTGCTGCCGTGGCTGCAGCGCTGTCTTGGGGGGAGGAGGTCCGCTTGGGGAGACCTTGCTCCCCACCACCCCCTGCCCACCTTTCTTCCTCTTCCTCCCCACCACCTGTGACCAGGCGTCTGCTGGGGGGGAGGAAGATGTGGAAGGTCGAGCCGTTGAGGTGCTCGACACCTCCCAGGCTGTCGACCGCTCCAGGGGTGGTCCGACCCTCTTCTTCACTTTCTGGGGGGAGGTGGCAAGCAGGCTACGCCTGTTTTTGCCGTCTCCCTTACCAGTACCCTCGCGGGGGGGGGGCGGCAGGCGGACAAGATCCGTTTTTACCGCCCCTTCCTCCTGCACCGCTCCCTCCCGCCGACTGGGGCAAACGCTCTCCCGTCAGAGGGCGAGGGGTGTCCGACGCTAACGGCGGACAAGGGACGGGCATGAGGACATCATACCGCCGGGCGATCTCGGCCCCTATCCCCCGCCGCATCTCTTCCATAATCTGATTGGAGAGGCCCCTCACCGCCTCCCCAATCGCGCCGATCATCTCCTCTCGAGTGACCACGTCAGCCTGACCGCTGGACTCCCGCACCTGCGGGGGTGGTCTTGCTCGGGAGGGGATCCCGAGGTCCGTCCTCAGGCCGGCGAGCTCGGTCTTCAGCTCCTGCATTTCTGTAGCGAGCCTCTTGTTTTCTTCTCGCGCCCTCTGTAACTGGCGCGAGACCCGGCCGAGCTGAGAAAGTCCCAGCATCCATCTTCGCAGTCACATTTTCTCTTGGTGCACCTGCGGTGCATGCACCAAGTAGCCCGTCGTATGATGACGACGCAGCGGGGCCCGGGACGGTAACCCCGCTACGCCGGGGACTGGGGGTCCGAATCTCCTGTCCCGGTAAACTGCTCTCCTTTTTGTCCGTCATCCCATATATTTTAAGGATGGTTTTATATCGGAGTTGCCTCTCCTAGGCCGGTTGCCGGCCAAGGCTCACGAGCCCGTCCTGCCCGGGTTTTCTGTAGGGGTTTTCCTTCCCTTAGGCACACTCTTAGTCTGGCCGTTCACTGAGGACTTGTCCGGCTAGGGAGACCCTGCCAGGAACCGAAGTTCCCGCCGGTATAGCTCCTCAGATCATCACAGCATGCAAGCTCGGGGACCACGACAAGGTGGTGTGCCATCCCCCGAGTTCCGCACAACATCCTGCGATCGGCTCGGATAACCGTAATTATATTTCTTAGTTTAGTAACTTATCAAGCTTCAATAAGCTTTATTTGTTAAAAATTATTAATGTAGGAATAGAAGAGATAAATTTAAATAATGATAAACTTATATCTACAATAAAAAAAGGCAGAATAAAATGGATGCAATGAATATGCGAATAGTGAAGAAAAAAATTTAATTAATTGATTAAAAAAAAGAAAAATAATAACAACCAGTTTAAAAAACGAGAAAATGAAGAGGAATCAATAATATTAGAAACAGATGATGAAACATACGAGTTGATTTTGAAGAAAACTAAACTAAATATATAATGGGAGAAATGACCTGTGTTTAATCATGTTAGTGTTAAAAAATGTTTTAAATGCTAGAGTTATTATCACATAATTAAAAACTGTGTGAGAGACGAGACATGTCACAAATGTCCAAGAAATCACAACTCGATTGACTGCTTAGTGACAAAGCAGAAATGTGTAAATTGTATGTTCAAGATTCGAACATACAACCTGAAAATAAATGACGAGCACGACGCTCTTAGTATGGAGTGTCCAACTTTTAAAAGGACATTACAAGAAGAGAAGAAGAGAGCTGGATGGAAGGACACTAAATAGCAACTACAGGAAGATGTGGAGCTAATGCTATATACAAATGCGCAAAGTTTAACGGTGCATAAAGATGAGATACAGCATCAGATTTTGAAGAAAATAAATCCTGCATTCTTAGCACTGTCGGAAACTAGATTGACTGATGAGATTGAAGATAGTGAAGTAAGTGTTCAGGGTTATAGTATAGTTAGGTGTAATATTGAGAACAAAAATACAGGAGGAGTTGTTTTATATATAAAGGACGATGTTAAATATAAAGTAATATTAGCAAAAACGTTAAAATTGAACTGTTGGTGTGTAGCGGTAGAAGTAAAAGAAAACTTGCATAAAGGAATGATTATGGTAGTATATCATTCACCAAGCGCGTCGCATGGTGACTTTATGAGATTTCTGGAAGATATAGTAGAGAAGTTAACAATAAAAGAAAAATGTATAGTAATTGGTGACTTTAATAGATCTTATGATAAATTCCTTTTATGCGAAAAAGCAGCAAACAACAATGCTAAGCTTAGATATGAAACAATACGTTAATAAACCGACAAGAATCACGAAAGACAGTCAGACAATCATTGATTTAATCTTCGCTAATAATGATAGTTTAGAAGTACAGCCCAGCAAACACAGAATATAACTGCTATATAACATAGAAGTAACACGTAATATAACGGCTGTTATACTCTATTACCATTAATGTTATATACCTTAGTTTTATAATTATAATATAATTATGTTATGTATTTATATTATATTGCTTTATTATCAGCTGGCAATGACATTATAACAGCATAATTGATATGTAATATGATATATAACAAATTTTATATGAATTTTACATTACTGTTACGTAACATTAGTTATCAATATATAATTACAATGTAATTACTAGTAATAAATAAGTTACATAACTGTTATAAAATTTTATATAACTGTTTGAAAATTATTATATTGGCGTTGTAACTTGATAACGTTATTTGTGAAAAAATTTATAGGAAATTAAAAGTTAAAAGCATTGTAATGCGCAAATGATGTCATATAAAAGGTAAGTATAAATTTCATTAATTCTCGTATATTTTCCGAGCATACTTTTGAATTACGCATATTTAATAGCCATTAGCTGCGTTCAACAGAATACTCGCTTGACTTGTTCTTCTGAACGCAGTCAATTTCTCTCGTCTCTATGCGCAGTTTGCTTCCAATTCGTCGCGTGCGCATCACCACATATCACTGTTGTTTGCTACTGCATACCGCATGCTACCGAGTCTGGCATTACCGGCAAAGATGCCAGTTTGCGGACGCAGCATGCTCAGCAAGTAGAAAGGATACACAGACGAAACGCACACAGGCGAACAGCCGTGTACGTGTGCGCTCAGCGCCTCGGCGAGTGGCTGCTCGCTTGTGTGCGTATCCCCTCCACTTGCTGCTGCATGTTGCTAGCGTACGCAAACTGCCATCTCTGATTACCGGTCTGAGAAGAAACAAGCTGCTGAAACAACAAATAATCAAAGGTAATCTTTTTGTTCTTGTTTTTTTTGTATTAAAACAATAATACAATGTAGAACAAAGACACGATAAATAATTCCGGCGTATATTTTTGGTAATATTATCGTACACATACTCAGTGTAATATATCATGTTAAACATAAAGGTTAATTTGGAAAAACGACCAGGAGCTTTATTTTGTACAATCGTACCGACGATTGTCGTTTTGATATGTGTTGATGCGCACCTGTTTGGTATCAAAGTAGCTACGCAACAATATTTATCGAATTGATGATCGTCGGTACGAGTGTACAGAATACGTCTCCAGAGGCACTTTCCAGTTAACGACACAAGTCAACAATTCTTCTCCGATAATAGTTATTCTGAAATACCAACAGCGTGGCTTGTAATAAATAGAGATAAGCAGCTGTGCTGGTGGCTGCCCCGAACAGCTAACGCTTCATTGTTAATAACAAACTGCACAAGTCTCACTTATGATTCGTGGAATCTACACAAAGTTAAAATATTAAAATACTGTTGTAAGTTCATTAAATCTCGCCTTTACATATTCTATTATTGTGATATTTGATGCTTTCCCGATGTGTTACATTAATATTCAAAACTGGTTTTCAAGTTTTAATTGTTATTTTTATATTGACGTTTTGTAAACATTTCAGTTCATTTCATCAAGGTTTCAAGAGCAACCTGATTGAGATGCGGCTGGCCATTTCTAATAATCTAGCGCTAACGGAATACCTGGTCAGAAGCATCTCAATATCAGGTTGCTCTTGAAACTCTGATGAAGTGAACTGAAATGTTCACAAAACGTCGGTATAAAAATAACAAGAACACAATTAAAACTCGAAAATCATTTTTGAATAGTCTATTCCCAGATAACCAAATCTGTCGAAACAGATTTTGCCAAATGCTTGTTACAAATTTTGTTAGCAGAAAGACATCAAATATGATGCAGAGTTTGTTTTATCTGGCAATGTTACAAAATTGCTAGCAAAAATATATCCAAGCTTGTTGACAAAACATAACAGCAAATTGCTGGCAAAACCCGAGCAAAACTTGTACATAATTTGAGACCAAATTGACGCCAAATATAGAGCAAGATCTGCGCAACACGACTTGATAGCAAAATAACAGCAAACACCGAGCAAGACTTGCAATTCAGTCAACCCAGTAAGCAAAATGCGCGCAATATGCCAGCAGATTGGCAACAGATATACTAAAAAGTTGCGAGCAAATTGGCATCTGTTGTGTCCGCATTAGGCTTACGATCTGCTAGCAAAGCCTGCTCACAGAATCTGATAGCAGATTGATAGCAGAAACCGAGCAGAATCTGCTAACATGACTTGACATCAGATTGTCGGCAGAAACCGAACAAGATCTGCAGCTTTTAGCGATTCATAAAATGGTGCATTTAAAGGATTTCAATATTATTTTTATATTTTTTAATGTAAAATAAGTAAACAATTTAAAGCAATATTTTTATTATATAATTCTTACAATGATTTTTTTACATATTATTGCGCGTTTTCAACTTATCTACTAAATTATAATTATGTATAAAAAAATTATACATAGTCATA